GATCATCCACGGGGAATCAACGCATCAAGACAATGTGGTCTTTTTTCAGAAGAGGAAGGTGGGTTTAAATCTATGTTTTTCAGAAAGCTGGTTATGGTCTGAAATCCATGGAAGCATACAGACTGAGTTAAAACAGATTTATAAAGTACATACAAACTCTTCATGTAGAAAACAAGGTTCTTTATTAACATACTTGTAAGCTATATGTTAGTTAAGCAAATGTTGCTGGTTTGGAAGTAAGTGATAAAATATATATCAGTGATATTAATTTTAGTATTACACAGAGGTGAGTAGAGTAGCTACTCAAAAATCCCAATGGAGTAATAAATTTAACCTAATTTTACTGTTTATAAATTAGCAATGAGGTGAAAGCTATTTCTAAACTTGTGGTTTGATTATTGTTGTCATGGCAGCTCCATAGGAAGTTGCAATTCATTATTACTGTTGGGCAGAAAAGTTTGATTTATAGAATTCAAATAAACCTTTTTATTAATTAATGCTCTACTGTAGCGACTATCGACCACCTTTTAATCGCTTCTGGTTATGCCCAGACCAGGAGATATGTTATGGGTGATCCCATTTATTGAAGCCAGTTTCTAAATGAACAAACAATCCGAGTGGCGGTCTTTTACAACAAGTAAGATGGAGAGTGTGGATATGACAGAACTTAACCAGTGGACGCAGGCCATTGTGTGCCAAAGAAAGTGGTAAAAACTGTATGATGTTGCATCATCCAAACCCTTTCTGCCCTCTCACCTCTCACCTTTATAGCTTTCCCCTCTAAACCGCCACCAGTGGTATAGCAAAATATAGGTCAGTGTGTCAACCTTAACAAAACACCACCACCAAAACCAAATAAACCAGAAACAAACCATACCTAAACACTAACAACTACAAATGGCTCCTTCACCTACTTTATACAAAAGTGTCACACACCAGCTGACAAAATAGCAGATCTAGTTCAACACATCATACTGGTTAATATAGCAGACAGATACTGTGGCAAAATGTGCAATAAAATAATAGTTTTAGACATACAAGGTTTCCATCCCAAAGCCAACTCTTCCTTATCTACTGTGAATTATGCATTACACACAGAGTAACCCATCTTTATAACTCCAAAAATGCAAAGAACAAAAACAGTCTTCTTTCTACTTTGACAATTTTGGCTTTATTTCTAAGAATTTACCCCTTAGTTACCACTACTCAGGGGTCAAAGTGGATTTAAATTAACAGGGTTTTGATATTTAAAGAAAAGAAATACAGAGACAACCTACATAATTGCCTTGTAATGCCATGCCAATCCAGACCTAAATTCAATGAATATTCTAACTAAGATGTTGACATATTTAAAGGACACAAAGAAAATGTTTTAATGACAATACCAGGAAACATTTCCATCATATTCGAATGGATAGAAACAAGAACTATGAGAAAGAAATATTCATGCACAGTTGAACTCCAGGTGGGCTGCTTGATCAAACAGGATGCAGCTGCACAGCTGATACTGCTTAGCTTGTCTAACAGAATACAGCACAAGGATGCATTTTAAACACGTGACCAACCACCCACGGATTTTTATTTAGTCTCGTCTCATTGATGAAAACTCAAACCCATGACTGGTCATGCTTTCGTCATCCATGTTTAGCTCGTCAGTTTTTGTTATTTTCATGAAAAAAAAGGAGCGTCAAGGAAATGATTTTGTCATCGTCATCGTTGACGAAAAACAACGCTGGTTAGCACATATAATGTCTATGTACAAGTTAGCTATAGCTTTTCATGCACAGTCTATGCAAATATAAGTACAACCCTCACATTTCTGCAGATATTCAGTTGTATCTTTTCATAATATAAAACCAATAAAATTATACTATGACACAATGAAAAGTAGTACAGCTTGTATAACAGTGTAAATTGTAGTCCTCCCCCAAAATAACTCTAGATGCAGCCATTAATGTGTAAACCACCAGTAACAAAAGTGAGTACACCCATAACAGACTACACCCCTAAATGTCCAAATTGAGCACTGCTTGTAATTTTCCCTTCAAAATATCATGTGACGAGTTAATGTTATTATTTGTAAGGTGTGCATAAGGAGCAGGTATGTTTTGTTGTAAAACATGAATGCAGGGAAGGCTAGTATAGATTTGGTATACATTTCTTGATTTCTTTAAGTATTTTTATTAACTCTTATCCCTTAACAAAACTGGACCAAAAAATGTATCTGGTTTGGCAAAAGGGGTTCATGTTCTTTCAGTTTAACAAGCTATGGCGACCGAGTGTGGCCCCTTTTTAAGATGGTACAAAATTTTCTATTATAGACATTTTACAAATCCCCGGACCGTGAGCCTAAACCGGACATACGCCAGTCTCAAAAAAAACAAAACAGAAGTTGTCCAAAGGGATTGTTGACTTCATGAGCTGATAGCCCTTTAAAAGTTATCACTGTTGAAGAAACGTAGGACTGGGGTCAGGATATTGGAATGCTGCTGCAGTGCAGCAAAGACACAAAGACTTGCCATTCCATCTTTGAATCTTTTAAGGATAGAAACAAAGGCAATCTACTTTATCCATAGTATAGATATGAAATATTCTAAGTCCTGTATGCTGATAAGGATTCTCAGTCATCCAGGTCATAGTCATTCCGTAAAAGTTTAAAAACAATCCGCTGGACTTGGTTTCCAAGTTTTGAAGATGTTTCGCTTCCCCTCCAGGAAGCTTTCTCAATTCAAATGTCTGGATCCGCAGTGAGTTTGAGGCTTTATATGGACAAGGCCTTGTATTGCTTGGAAACATGAAAATTGAAACCGATATGATTCTGAAGGTCGGTCGTTAAAGGGGGGATTGTTGTTGCCCCCTCTTATGACAATCCCCCCATTAACAACGACCTTCAGAATCATAGAGGGCCTGGAGAAGCCGAGGAGACGTTATGCAGCCTGTAACGTCGTTCAGCATGACTGGTTTGGTGGAGGGTCAGTGATGGTCTTGTTAGGCATATCCATGGAGGGATGCAGAGACCTATACAGGCTAGCCAACGGGACCCTGACTGCCATTAGGTATCTGGATGAAATCCTTGCACCCATTGCCAGACACTATGCTGGTGTAGTGGGTCCTGGGTTCCTCCTGGTAAACGACAATGCCCGGCCTCATGTGGCGAGAGTATGCAGGCAGTTCCTGGAGGATGAAGGAATTGATACCATTGATTGGCCCCCATGCTTGCCTGACCTAAATCCAATAGAACACCTCTGGGACATTATATTTCAATCCATCCGACACCGCCAGGTTGCACCTCAGACTGTTCAGGAGCTCAGTGATGCCCTGGTCCAGATCTGGGAGGAGATACCCCAGGACGCCATCCGTGGTCTCATTAGGAGCATGCCCCAACGTTGTCAGGCATTCATACACGCATGTGGGGGCCATACAAATTACTAAATCCCAGTTTGAGTTGCTGCAATGACATTTCAGAAAAATGGACTAGCCTGCCGCATCATTTTTTTCACTGTAATTTTTGGGGTGTCTTTGAATTCAGCCCTCTGTAGGTTGATCATTTTCATTTCCATCAAATGATGTGGCATCCTTTTGTTCCTAACACATCACCCAGTCCATATTAGTATAAATAAACAGCAGGATTTGTTTACCCATTGAGATCTGATGTGTTTTCAAAGTGTTCTTTTATTTTTTTTTTTAGCAAAGTATTTTATTGCATGTTGCATGTCCCAGTTAATCTGTTTCACCTTTAAATCTGCAGCTGTCCCTAATTGTGTCTCTGCTCTTCTTAAAATCAGATTTATGAACCTGTCTACCAATAAAATTATGCCAGAGAAACACATTTTCAAGATATCTAGAAGCCCTGCAGTCTGATTCTCTGTTCAATAAGAGAATTTTAATCTATATATCTGAGTAATGGTCTTTTGAGAAGCCCAGCTTTTTTAACTTATATAAATACACAATATGTTGCCATTTTTAGCTGAAAAAGCTCTGTATGTGTAACAAACAGATTTTTCAATGGCATCTCTAATTTCTTTAGCAAACCAGTCTCCTAAATTTTACTTAAACATATATCTAAGTAGCTGCAGGTTAAAATTCACTGAGTGCTGCTGTGTCTCTCCTCTTCCACGTCTGTATGCAGAATAGCGACCCTAAATAATATTATGTCCCAAAGCGACAGATCTGGCGATATTTCACCCACAGTGGGACTCAAGAGCAGTGGGAGAGCGAGGGAAAAAAAGGACTGAAAACACTCTGAACACAGACAGCTGCACCCAATCCCAGTTACTGTTAGCTAAGTAAATCAGCAGAAAGGGGGAAAAAAGCTGAAATTATTTGTGGGAACTGTCCCCTCCATGCCATGGGTCCACACGAGTCCTCCAGAAAGTTACGCCAGTGCCAAGGGATACATAATCAAACTGTAAAGTATAGATTGCAAAGGTGAGGAGCATCACATAGCACTTCACCCGGAATCCAAAGGTCAGGATGACCCCTAACTTCAACATGGCGGGGAGGAAGGCATACCTACAACTCAGCCTCACATAAGCTCAAAGTGCACAGAAGCATGTGGTGGAGAACAGTCAAATAGATCATGCTCAAAATATGACTTGTAAAAGAACATACAGCTGGCTACAGACACAAAGCTGTAAAAAATTTATGCGATTCTGGTTGACAAGAGTAACAGGTCACTGCTGCGATTGTAGTCTTTTGTATATGATGTGTAGTTAGCCATAAGAGGTCATCAACCCACAGACCCAGTATAGACATGATTTGGATGTTCATCATATGTCTTATGTTTAGTGAGAAGAGCACCAGATAATAATGAAAAAAAACCCACTTCTTATCAAACGAGCTTTGTTCGATCCAACAGCGTCTCTTAAACCATAAATGTAAAGTAAAAGGTACTGTGTAAGTTTATTTTTTGTATTTTATTATATCAATAACACACAAATTTGTAAAACAGTTCTACGTAGTTTCATAAATTTATTACAATTAATTTATTAATCACTAATTTATTTGTGCGTTATTATCTTCAAATAATGTGTGGTATTTTGTACTGTTCTACAAGTATTTTGAAACTTTTTCAATAAAAACAATAAAACATAATTTTTTAGACATTTATACAATAAACAATTTTAATCTGAGAACAGCATTTTCCTACAATGTTTCAAAAGCACAAAATGAAAGTCCTTCATTTTACAGAACGGAATTCCATTTTCAAATTGAGACATCTAAAAACTATTAAGAGTTTTACAGTAAAAAAGATATCGTATCTAGTTATAAGAAACATTTTTATGGATTTGTCTCGTATTTTATAACAATATAAAACAAGAACTTTGTTGCCACTGGCCAAGATGATAGTCCTACATCGTAAGAAACCAAAAAATTATATTTTTCAAGTGAAGGTAGACTTTTTATAGTAAAAAAAAAAAAAAACGATTATTCTGTTATGGAAATTAGAATCATGTATACATTGTGATGCACTCCAGTGGCATTTTAGTACAGTATAGAACAAGACTGTTCTCTGATCACATAGTGAAAAGCAAATGACCACTAAAGGTGTTATGATGATTTTGACTGTCATAAATTCTTGTATTTTGCCACTGATGCAATAATACAACATCTCCAATCTCTAACAGCAATGTGACTCCATTTGATGGGTTAACAGAATAAGAAGCCTGATGCTCATATGCAATGAAAACAGGATCTCCATTCTTGACCAACACAGCACCTGTAGGATGTGACGCATGTCCATGTCCAAACAAGTGGAATTCAAAGTGATAGGCTCCTTTCACAGGTGCAATGAAAAAACCTGTGAAACACAATGTTTCTATTATGATTTTGACTGTAAATGTATTTACATAAAGAAAAATGAACCAGGTTTATCTAAGAGTTTGTTAAGAGAATGTTGGAGTACCTGTGTTTGGGTTGTAGGCATTGCCAATATTTGCAACAACATTCCTGAAGACTAGAGGTCTCTGTGTGTTAAATGGTCCGATATGTCCTGATCCTGAGGCCAGCAGGGAAGCAGAGAAAGCCACTCGTTTCTCTGTCAGAAAGTGAATGTAGTTAAAATCAAAAAGATATCTTTAGAAACAATCATACATTTAGACATTTTTGGTCAACTTGTCTTTGTTGCAGCTAAAATAATGTTTTACAAGAAAACCAACCAAGTACCATCTTTGGATAAAAAGAGATGTTGAAATAACTTAATGGACAAGCTGAAAAAAGTATATAACTTCATTCATGTTGCAGGACATTATGAAATATACATATATCTTAAGATTATTTTTTCCAAACCTTTTCCTTCCGTCCTTAGCCCCTCCAGTTGGACCTCAGTGTTGTTTGCCCTGGCTTTAACAGAGATCAGTTCTTCTGCCTGCGCTGTAAATTTATCTAAAAAAGGAAAAAGAATCTAAAACAAATAGACTATGTTTCTCTTTCATTTTCATAAGTAGCATATAGTCATCAAGAATACAAGCTCATAAATACTGTCCTCTTGCCATTGATATTTTAGAAACTGTTAAATCAATCAGGTTTGGACGGAGCCCCTCTGGTGACATGGGCAGACTTTTTTTTGAAGATGTTAAGTCATGGCCACAACTTATCTATCTCGTGGCCAGGCCTTAGTAAGACGTGGTCATGCCACAATTTCTTTAAAAGAAATTTCTGCCGATGTCACCAGAGGGGCTCCGTAGGTTTGCCCTCAATATAGACTGCATATAAGCAACACTATTTACAATCATCTCAGTAAACTAACTGTTTATGTATTATTATCTATTTTGTAAAACCATCACTCTTAGAATAATGTAATAAATACCTTGGTACTGCTGCTCCAGCATTCTTAATTTTGCTACTTGTACTGAAAAACAAACCAACAACATTTAAATTGAAGAAACAATTCTGTGATAATATCAGGTGCTTGCTTTTTATGTTATATTTACCTTGGTACTGTTCTTTCAACAACTCTATTTCTGTTGTCTTAGCTGTTTGCAGAAGTAAAATGAAAAACCTTTGAATGAGATGCCATTTCAAAAAAAAAAAAAAAGACTCAAAGAGGGGATTTTTTTAAAGCTTTGGTTTTCTTCGTTAACCTACCTTCATTATCCTTCTGTAAGTACTCCATGCCAACCTTTAGTCCACCCAAAGAGGCACTCATCTCTCTCAGAACAGCATTGATGTCTTGTGTACATCTTTGTTGGGGGTCAGAGAGATTTTCTGTCTCTCCTGTCTGTGATACAGTTTGCCTTGAATGTGAAGTGATTTCATTCTCTGAGTCTGACTGAAGCAGAGCTGCAGAAAAAGAGCAGATCAGAAGAAACAACTGCAAAATCATTAAGTTCTCCATTCTCATCCTTGTGTACTTGAAGTCCCCTAAAGTTTTGGTTCTGTGTTGATCCAACCCTTAAATACTCTTAAAGTTTGATTAATAATTACCTTTTTTTAAGCCAGTACAAACACTATAAATGTATGTGTCATGGACAAGACTTGTTTAATTGGGCTTGTTCTATCAAAAGGCAGAATCTTTTGTCAAGGATAATATTTTATGGGCAGACTCACGTGCGCTTGTAGAAAGTATAATCTCCATTCTCACTATCTATGAGTGAGGTTCTGTTTACAAAGTTTTTCATTTACAGACAAACGTGAAGGTGATAAGACGTGACTTATTTGACACGTTGCATGACAATTAAAACACCATATTTAGTGATAAAGTCTATGCCATTGCTTGTTCATAAAATACAATCTTATTGTACAATTACATACTGTACTTACCTAAAATCTGTATCATGCTGATTTATACAGTTTTGAGACATCACTATGAGAAATAACATTTAAAAAAGACCTTTTTTAAGAATTTATTTACTTTTTCTGGGCACAAATTTTTTCTCCTCTTTGATTCTCTTGTCTACTGCTCAAGAGATATAAATTGTGTTCAGCAGTTCTCTGGTCAATTTAAATCTACTGATTATTATGATTCTGGTTAACAACAAATGCTGTTTGAAGGCATATTACGAGATAAAGACAGGGATAGCAAATAAAGAAAAATCTGCTTGTTCAATCTGGGAAAGTATCCAATAGTTTATGATATACTGTATAAGATTTCACATCACATTGAGTTATGTAGTTTATTGTGACCCTTTTATTGCTAATCTGTAAATTTGTCCATAACAATGGCCTAACGACACAACAATAGGCCCGTAAGCAACATTACCTGGGTGGGCCCCATAAGAAGTACAACACTCTAGATTACCCATAATTCCAAGTCGTATTGTAAAAAATAAAATACTTAAATACATTGTTCTTTTAAGATCTTTTGAAACATATTGTATGAGTCAATTTTTACCAACTTTCTAATGAACTATACACAGTCATTAACATAGTAATTGAAAGTACTACTGTTTGCTGTGCTATTGGTGTCGTGTTTAAACGGCTCACCATCATGCTGAAATCTGACATGTCTTGGGGTATAAATAAGGTCAAGTCCAGGTGGGTTTTAAGAGGAATTTTTCGTACCGTTACCTCTGCAATCAGATGTCCTAATCCAAAATTGCGAAGGGGGCCTACCAGGTATCACACTGTAAAAACGAAAAAGTTAGTTCAACTCAAAATTTCAAGGCAACCGGCTGCACAGAATTTTTGAGTTGAAGGCATCAACTTAATTTTTTAAGTTTTGTAGAACTACACTTATTAAGTTGTTTTAGCAAAGTTTTTCAAGTTCTGCCAACTAAGTTTTTTTAATTCAAGTTACTGGAACTTTCAAGTGTGTAAAAACTTATTATTTTAAGTTTAGATTATCTGTAAAAAGTTATTTTAAATTCAGATTACCATCCCCTGTAATTACTTACATTTTTTAGTTTAAAACCCCCCCATTAAATCATCCACTGACAGTAAACATGCTTGTCCCAAGTGGGGCAGGGTACACCCTGGACAGGTCACCAGACACACAGGACTAACAACCATTCATGCACACACTCACTCAGTACAATTTAGAGAAGCCAATCAACCTAACAGTCATGTTTTTGGACTGTAGGAGGAAGCCAGAGTACCCAGGAAGAACATGCAAACTCCATGCAGAAAGACCCCTGGCCAGGAATCAAACCCAGAACCTTCTTGCTGCAAGGCAGCAGTGCTACCCACTGCGCCACTGTGCAGCCCTGACAGAAAAACCAGGTTTACAATTCCACAATGTAAACAAGTAATCTTATGCTTAAAGCATATCAGGTTTCAGCATATATTTTTTACTTTCCAACTCCTGTTAAAACTTTACAAATAATGCAATATTGCCAGAGATGACAGGAAACCAGTTCTTTAGTCTTGGACGAGTCCTCAGGGAAAGTTACCACCAGCAGAGTGACCAGATGGTTGAACCAAACTTTAGAAGGGAGCTCCTGGGAAAATCCATGGAAACCCTGTAGCAGCCGGTTGCCATGACAAATTTGAAATGAGCATGTGCAGATACTGGGTGTCAACTACAACTTCTAAGTAAACTCAACTTAGTTTAAAGAATAAGATGAACTTTTCATCAGAAATTATGAAAGTGAGTTCAACTGGCTCACAAAAGACAGTTCAAGTTCCAACTGGCAATTTTATTGTCAGTGAATGCAAAAATCTTAGTAAGGTGAACAATTTTGAGTTGTCGTTTTTACAGTGCAGTGACGGGGCCGGTAAGCTACTGCAGTCTCTGCTTACCATTATTTATGCCACTGATTCATAACTTTATAGATTAGCAGAGCAATAAATTTAGATGGTCTTCACAAGTAAAATGATTTTGTAAAAATATATAGGAAACAAAGTTTGTGTAAGAAAAAAGCTGTATTAGATGTGTAGCATTTATTTAAAAAGCATTTTACACACATAACCAAAGTAATGAAAAGGTCCACAAAATACAAGAAAACAAAACAAAACAAATGACTAATAAAATGAAAACACCTCAAATTAAAATATAAAACCAAAAGAACTGCCAGAAAAGGGAAGAAAGGTATGTGAAAGAGAAAAAAAGATTAATTCTGCTTAACAGAAACCAAAAGACAAGTTTAAAAGATGGATATTTAATGGTTGTGTGTGTGTTTTTTAAAGAGCATAAAAATGTTGCTAAATTATTTTGAAGAATCATCATAAAAGTTCAGAGACCAGTAAAAAATATCTCAATTCAGCTCATCAATCATTATATTGAAAGAGTCCTGACCAAAACAAGAAAATGGGTCAAGTCTAATCTGTTTTATCTAAATGAAATTGCTTTTAAGATAACAAGCTTTTAAAGTACTGCTTTTATACTGTGTTCACTTTAGAGGTACTAGTTGAGTATCACATGTGTAGACCATTTAGCCTATATTTGACAAGTAAGAATTATAAATTTACAGTATCCAGGTGCTGACCATGCTGTACTTTGCTCTGCAGTTATCTGCCAAGACTTGGCTTATGGAGGGAATATTTAATCAGTCCTGATATTAAAGTACGCTTGTTGCAACATTTCCATGTTAAGGTTAGAAAACATTGACTGTTTGCCAAAGGGATAAAACTTTGTGCTTTCCTCAATCCTTTAACTGATAAAAAAGAACCTTTCAATCATCAAACAGAAGAGCTATAAAGTGTATTTTTTTTAATGCTTCCTCAATATCAGTACTATAAACAACAAGTAGTCATTTAGTTCAAAACTGATAAACCAAAACTTAACAGCTTCAGAAATGAGATAAACTTCTGACTAAATAGTAATTTAAACAAAACAAACATGTGAGTAAAACATACTTTAAAAGAACTGCTGCTCTGCAAAGTCATCTTATGGGAGGCCACATTTTGTTTTGTTTTTCAATCATCTGATGAAAACAAAGGCATGAAATATCAGATAAAGTAGCAAACTGCTCATCAGCAAATGTTCTTTAAGTTGTAGAATAGAGAAAGAAAAATGGTTAAAAAATGCATTGAGTAAAATTACAGTAGGCTAATGCATTCTGTGGTAGGGGTTTTTAAACTCAGAGTTAGACCCTAAGTTTGAGCAAAGGTAAAAAGGTCAAACTCATTCTCAAAAATCAAATTCAGAGGAAGAATAAAGGCTTATAGCTGTCATGATTTTATCTAGGGCTCTGACCCACATGCAGAAGACCAAACAGAGAGACCAGGGAAAAGTTTAACATGTTTATTTAGGATGAAGATATGCGTCCAGTGCTGCTCTGAACACTGTCGAACCGGAACTGGAAAGTAAGGGGAAGACACTGCGGTTAGTTCAGGGTCAGTGGGAAATTAGATTCTTTGACTTGAAGAGGAGGACTAGGTTGCAGACTCATGTTTCCAGAAAAGTTGTCTTTTGTTGAATCCAGTCGGTGTGGGATGTTCCAGTGATTGCGGTTGTTCCTTGGTGAACGGAGAAGCTGACTGCCACTGAGATTTCCTGCGGTACTTGAACTGGTTATTGTGGAAATGTATCCCCTGCTCAGAGAGAAGCCCCAGACGATCCTTGGGGAAAAGGTTGATCCAAACCACAAACTTGAATCCTCAGCTCAATTTGGTTCTCAGAAGATCCTTCCAGGGGAGCAGAGGAGCTACTGCACATGCACAACTGAGAGATTTTTGTCCCCCAGGGCTTAAATAGGTCATCAATCAGACGACAAATGAAAGAACTTTACTTTTCATTAAATATTTATCTTGCACATCTAAGAAATATATTAGTATATTTTAAAATATTTTAATTTCCTTTTTATTTGTTTATGTCATGAAACGAGGACAGATGGACCCAGTATTCAAGGAGAAACAGTCAGTAGGAAAGTTCAAAACGTTTATTGAAGCAAAAACACGAACAAACAGAAACTAAAGTGGAGCTGCGGTTCGCAGATACTGCAGGAGGGGGGCGGGGCTTCGCCCAATCTCTGACACTCTGTGGTAGAAACACAGGTAAGTGACCACGATCATCTGACTGAAGATGATGATCTCAGCGAGTCACTTACCTGGTTTAGCAGTTCGGTCTATACCCCTTGAGGGGGGTGCAATCCAGCCGATGGGCTGACAGCTGACGCGGCTCGCGTCACCCAGAGTGTCCCCGGTGCTGCAGCTCCGGAGGAGTTGCAGGAAGCCGATCCTGATCAGGGATAAAGATCAGGCAGGAACGGACAAAACAGGATGCAGATCAGGCAGGAACAGAACAGGCGGCTGGATCCATGCTCCCAGACAATAACAAGCTCCCAGACAGGTTCAGAGTCTGACAGAGTTCAGAAGTGTGGCCAGGTGGTCACGCACAGGAGCAGACAGGATCAGGTGCAGATGAGCAGGCTCAGTGGCAGAGGGTAGCCGAGACAGGACGTGGAACCAGAACCTGATGCAGGACCTTTAAACTGGTCTCCTCCTTGGAGCCAGGCTTACAGAGATAAAAACTGAACC